GGAAAAAAAAAAAAAATTTTCACTAAAATAGTATTATTAGTAATGTTAAAAATTAACATTATCTTAAAATGTATTGAAATAGAAAAAAAAGTGACTTTAAATTGTAATAAAATTTCACAATAGTAACATTTTACTGTATTTTATTTTTACTGTATTTTACTGTATTTTTAATCAAATGAACGCAGTTTAGCACAAGTGACAGTTTACAGATACTCATATTCTGGATTAATTCCCCATAAACACAATTTTCTCTAAAATAGTATTATTAATATTAAAAATTAACATTATCTTCAAATGTATTGAAATAGAAAAAAAAGTGACTTTAAATTGTAATAAAATTTCACAATAGTAACATTTTACTGTATTTTATTTTTATTGTATTTTACGGTATTTTTAATCAAATGAACGCAGTTTAGCACAAGTGACAGTTTACAGATACTCATATTCTGGATTAATTCCCCATAAACACAATTTTCACTAAAATAGTATTATTAATATTAAAAATTAACATTATCTTAAAATGTATTGAAATAGAAAAAAAGTGACTTTAAATTGTAATAACATTTCACAAAAGTAACATTTTACTGTATTTTTAATCAAATGAACGCAGTTTAGCATAAGTGACAGTTTACAGCTACTCATATCCTGGATTAATTCCCCATAAAAAAATGTATTCACAAAAATTGACACTGCTAACTACAGTTTCCAGCAAAATACCATTGTAGTGCTAATGCAAAAACAGTAATGATCTTATGATGGAAACTAACCATGTTATATTTCAAGTTTTTGAAGTTCTGTCTGGTTTTAAACAGGAATCTTTTCAGTTGATTTAATATAATGATAAAGAGTTTTTCTTACTTGTTTGCAGTCCTTAGTCGTTTGTAGAAGTGTCAGTCCTGTTTATGCCCGTCTCCACGCTAACAAAAAAATACCTGTAGACTCATGTGAGTGATTGAGCGGAGATCAGTGCGACTCATTCAGCGTTTAATTTAGCATTGAACTGAAGTTTCTAGCTTTTAGCATTATATGTAGGGGTAGGGCTTCCAGCTGTGACGATTGCATGAGAACTGGTTTAACAGGATGACTTCTTAAAGGACATTTAGCACTATGATATTTAATGCTTGCAGTGGAGCTGTAATCCAATGGTAAATGTGAATGGAAGATGACACACAGATTAGCCTGGACAACCAACATACCTTTTCTCTGAGAAGGCAAGAGTGGACTATTTTAATAAAAATAAAATTACAAATAATAAATATAAAACTGAATGTATGAACCATTCCTTTTCATAATAGTGCACCAACATCAATGGATGTGAACAAACTCATGAAGACCAAACACAAGTCACTATAACAACCACACGTGAGCATGATTACTTATGATATCATTTCTCCAGCGCACGTTTAGTGAAAGTTCGTATATCTGGTTTTCGGTGGTGTTTGGGCAGGGCACGGGACGGGATGGGAACAGAGAGTATCAGCTTAAACAAAATTTAATCACAGCTTCATCACACCGTTGGCAGCAGAGTCTGTCACGATCACAGATGAATCAGTACAATTCAACTGATGAAACATTTTTAATGTATAAATATTTTTTAAAGGTGGAAATCAATGAACTATTATAACAGGCCAAAAACCTTACCCTTACCAGCATAAATGCTATTTAAATTAAGCAATGTTTTTGTCCCCTGATTTCATGTCAGCCCTTGTAAATTAATGTACATTCAAGTGACATCACTTCTAGGAGGTTACATCATATCATAGCTATCAATTAGCAAATTAGTTTGAAATCGTCAAACCTGTTACTTTAGAGTAACAGGTTTTGACATGTGGGTAACAGTGATGACATAGATTAGGTGTCACCTTGTTTTTAAAGATTGTCTGTGTAAAATTCAAACATTTTAAAGGTCACCCTGGCTGTATTATTGAGCTAAGAAAGTCAAACCAAATTTCTTCAACAAGATCTTGGTCTGGTTTCAGATGATCTGATCATCTTCCTTGCCTAATAGTTGAACCAGATCAGTATATTTGAAGTTCTGAGGGGACACAGACAAACAGATGGACTCATTATCTAATTACAATACCCTTGAGACATTAGATCTCTTAGAAATGTAATGTGCTAAATCAACAATGAACTGACTTAAACTGAAAAACTGACTGTTTACGATTGTCATACAACTATGTAAAGTAAGTGCAAAACAATATAATGCAATTTGAAATGGTAAAACTTTACAGTAATGTAAATAAATATGTGCAGTGTGTTGAAGAATGTGTGTCCTGTCATCCCTGTTACTCTGTCAATCCTGTCTCTGTCATCAGTTTCTTAAAAATTGTGAAAATGATATTTGATACAGCCTTCCAGGTTTTTCCATTGTAACTTTAACTATATGTTATTTTGGACAAAGCCCTTTTTTAACATCTCTGGCATGTGGTCACCCTCCAAGATTAGACAAAATTGTAACCAAAATTGTCATCTGAATGACAAATATAAAACTAAAAAATATAAAAAAATTGAAACAATCCCAGTGAAAAGAAGTATTGCTACTCATATAGGTGAAAACTATCACATAGTTCTAGTTAAACTATAGTATATGGAAACGCTTGTTTCGGTAACAGGGTTGACAAAAAAATACCAAAACATGAGGAAGAAAAATAGTCATAAAATAATAAATTACATAGCCTGACAATATAATTTCTTGTCATTTTAAGGTGTCTTCATTTTATGGATATTTAAAAAAAATAAAGGTATTTGGTATATATTTTATTTTTTTTACATTTTTCCGAGCGGAAAAGGCACCGATTTCGTAGAATAACCTCTCCACATATATTCTAAGCTTTGGCAATATTGTATTTTTTACAGTCATGCCAATAAAGCAATTTTTGAATTGAATTGAATAGACCAGTGTGTGTCTCTGCGTTCATATGACTGTTTCTCTCTGACACTAACTGCAGAGTTGGCTTTAATGAAGCCCTCTGGGTTTCCAGCAGTGGAGCTGCAGTCTGAGAAACACTCACACACACACACACACACACACACACACACACTGACAAACATACTCTCACACACACACACACACACACACACACACACACACACACACACACACACACACACACA